TTGCTACCTCTGTATTTATGGGCTGGTGTTATTACAACTGCATGCTTTACCCAAAATAGATCCATTCTGAACAAGCGATTCTATCTTACTCCATATGAAATTATTAACAATCACAAACCTAACATTTAGTTGTTCCACGTATTACGTTCTAAGTGTTTCATCTTTAATTCCAAGGAAAATCGAAACAAATTCGATGCGAAAGCTGATGAAGGTATATTTCTGGGGTATTCGTTGAATTCCAATGCATATAGGGTTCTCAACAAACACTCAAAAAAGATAGAGGAAACCTATTATGTTACATTTGATGATAATTAATTGAAGAAGATTTAGCAAAACGAAAGTCTATCAGAGGAGATCTTTCTAAAGCATATTGGACATCTATGGCTTTGAGTAATTTCAGCTGTATTATATAGTTTTTTTATTAATCTCATGATATAAACTTAAGTTTATATTTTATAGAACTAATTTTTTGTTTTTTCAGAAAAATAGCTTTGACCGGTTGTTGATAAACTATGCTAACGAGAGGCTGCAACAACACTTTTTTGGACATGTATTTAAGCTTTAACAAGAGGTGAGAGAATCGAATGGCTATTATATATGAACAGGTAAAAATGACTTTTTCCTTATCTGGATTTACTATTTTTTAGATACCTATTTCAAAGTTCATATTCTTTTGGGTTAAATAACAATTTACTTCCATTTTTTAGCATCCTACTTTCGTTTCTTCTTATTACAACATTGTACTTGAAACTATGGCAATGTCATTTGAAGACAAAGCAATTTTCAAACTACAATGTTCTAATACGAAAAAAAAATTAAAAGTATAATTAGGTTTGATTTTTGAAACTACCATTCTTTTTAAGAAAAAATAAAAGGAAAGCACAGTGAAAAAAAATCATTTTTTTTCTCTTGGTTGACACTAACGTTTTCATATATATATATATATATATATATATATATATATATATATATATATATATATATATATATATATATATATATATATATATATATATATATTTGCATTATATTTTAAACAATGAAGACGGTTGGTTAAAAGATAGAACATAAGGCAATTTTTAGAAATTTGACCTTATCTATTTTTCTTATATTTTCCCTGGTTTGCAGTCATTTTCTAACATATTTTTGAATATCATTACTCCAAATAACACTTAATGAAAAAAAAAAAAAAAAAAAAAAAAAAAAAAAAAAAAAGACATGGTCAACCAACCGCATGTGTCCAAGTTTACATATCTTGAAAAAAGTATAAATCTTCTTACTATATATATGTACATTAATATTACCTCTTTAGAACTTATATTATTTGTTGGTGATTGATTCTAAATGCATACTACCATATTTGAGAAGAGTCTGATGAAACAGCGGTGGTGCTTTTCTTCCAAAACAAGCATATGTTTTACCTGATAAAAATCAGATATTTGAGGAAGAGTATAATGAAATGAACATTTATTATTGTTATATTTTTTTGTTGTTATTTTATAAGTTTTCGGATGATGTATTAAATGAAATTAATTGTTTTTTAGGCTAATACTGATTACAAAGGTGTGTGTTGTGTTTCTCTTGCACAAAAAGGTCATTGTAGGCCTGGAGAGGTACATACAAATTAATTAAATTCAATTTTAAATATTAAGTATTATATAAGTAATTAGATATATTATATTAGTTATCTTTGTTCATGGTTTGTATTCAGGTCTTACTTGGTATCGATTCCCACACGTGTATTTGCTAGAGCGTTTGGCTAGTTTGCTAACGGAATAGGAAACATTGATGCCAAATTTGTGTTATGAACCGGAAAGCTATTGCTTAAGGACTAAAAATTTTGTGTTCTTTGAAATGTATTATTGTGTTTGGTTCATTCTCATGCCTTTCTTCATAGTTGGTGTTTGTTTGTTATGATGGAATTGGGAAATGAATGGAATGATTCAATCCATTGGAATTATAAAAACTTTGTTTGCCATTACCATGTTTACAGGTTCTTCCAACCTTAAGATTTGTATTAGATGGAGAAATGCCAGATTTTCTTATTGCAAAAGATTTAATTTTACAAGTAAGATACACTCTCAATAAGTTCTTGTTACAATTTACCAAAAAATTTATCTTTTAAATTAAACTGCAAACTTCCTATTTTAATTCACTAATCAGGGGGTTTTTTTGTCATAGATAATTGGTGAAATATCTATATTTGGTGGCACATATAAAGCAATGGAGTTTGTTGGTTCAACTATCCAAAGTCTAACAATAAGTTTTTAACCAATATATACACTTACGTGTTACTTTTATTGTAAATAGGATATCAATTTTTATTTTTATAGGGGCATCTAGTTTTGCAGGAACTGAAGCTTATATTATTTATGTTTAAAAAAGTTTATGTTAGGCTTTTTTGAGTTTTGTGTTTTTCTATTACATTTTTACCCATTTAATATAAAAGAATGGACTTTTATGTAATTATTATTTTTAAATAAAATTGCTACTTACAGATGGCTTAGTGGATGTTGAATATTGAAAATTTTTTATTTTTATATTTGTCGGTTTTAAAATATAGATTTTTTTGTATGTTTGAATATTTTTCTATGTTGAATATGCATTATTTTTAATTTTTCATGAACTTATAATTGTTTTTGATAATTCCAAAATCTGTCGCAAATCTATCATGGTAATCCGTTAGTGAGTTATTATGTCGGCAATCTATTACAAACACATTCTGTTGGTAATCCGTTGCAATACTATTTTCGTCGGTGATCAATTACTAGTTACTGACGGAAAATTATGTCGATAAAAATTTGACGTAGCCGTCGTAAATTTGTTACAAACAGTTAGCGACAAGAATATACCAACGGATTTTGGTTTGTTGCAATTCCGTCGGTAAATCCTATAAGTGATAGATTACTGACAGTTTTGGCCGGTAGTAATGCTTTTTTTTTGTAGTAGTGTTATAACTCGTGGAAACCATGGTAGGTATGTTCAAAATTTTATTATATAGATAAAAAAAACTAAGATTAAATGTCAATATAATAAAAAGCAATGTATTTCAAATTGTAAGTAAACCCGGAATGAATTTGATAAGTAAAAAGCAATGTATTTCAAATTATAAGTGACGGTCGATTATGTTGAGGTGACTGTGAGGTGAGGTGGAATTAGATTTTATGAAAAAGCCCTATATTTTGATGCCTTTTGTAATTGTGGATAATGGATGCACGTTTGGTAAAAGGATTATAAAAACGATGCCTCTACACGACACACATATTTGATAGGTAACCTCCGTGTTTTTAATATTTTTTATTACAGCATTATTTTTAGGACATGCAAAAATGCATGTCCTCAATCCTTTAAATTTTAGGATAGATGACATTATTTTTATGACACACACTTTTGCGTATCATAAATTAATGTGTGTCATGTTTGGCACATCAATAAAGGCCTTTATTCTAGTAGCGCAGTGATTGACCTTAACTTTTATTTAAAGTCATAGAAAACAATACAGCGAGGGGAAACTGTCTCATTTTGAATTTGGATTGAATTTTAACGTCTGAAAGTGTAAAAGACAATCTTGAAATAAAAGTTCGGTGTTCGATATTTCTTCCGGTTATGATGACTGTTTCTATAAGATGATTACCCAATGACACCACCTGAAATCTGGTCCCATTACATATTCCATTTTTCTGGTCGATGTTTCTTAGTAAAAACTGATCTACTAAAAAATCTTATTATTTGGGACGCTTTGTAGAAAATATGTGGACAATATTCGTAACAAAATTTAAAATAAGATACAAATTCATAACAAAATTAAAAACTTGGACCAAAAATGTAAAATTGAAATATGGCATGTTGTCAGCTTTGTTATATTGATTTCCATAGCTATACCAGCTATGATATCTCATATTTCAATTTTACAATTTTCGCCCTATTAAATTTTAAGTTCTCTTACGAAAATTTTGATGATATTATTAACAACCGGATCCAATAATACAAAATTTGTGACTCCTTATTTTCTCGCATCATTAATGTTGGACACACATGAATTTGATTTCTAGATTCCCACGGTCCCACCTACAGTTCAATATCGGGGAGCTTAACCAATATATCTACATCACTTTGACTGCATTTTAACAATAAAAAACAGCACCATTCCTAGTCTTCCAGATTTTCATATGGTGGTATATATAACATCTATGATTACCTTGATTCTAAAAGGGTGAAAGTGTTTCGTTTTAGATGTCATTTAATTACTTGTGTTTCTCCTACTCTCCTAGAGAAGGGATTGGTTTAAGCTTACGCATGCATTCTGCCCATTTCTTTTACCATGCAATTTATGCTTTCTTAATTTATGACCTTTATAATTTGCTATAAAGCACCAATCAACGACAATCACATTGTGGTTCGGGTTCCCTCTCCCTTTCCATTGCAGTAATATTGAAGTTTTTAAGCATCTACCGACAATACAAGACTTGTTTTTCTTTATCCCTTTATCTTTTTAAAGTATTGAAACAACGTGCATCATGAAAGTGGGAAAGGTAACCTGTGAAAACCTAAGACGGAAGCATTATTTAGTTCCAAGTTCTTGTTGCTCTCTCAAGTAATTAACTTTATGCATGAAATTTAAATGGCATCCAAAGTTTGTGAAATTTAGAGTGTCCCATATCATTCATATCATCAGTTGAGTACTAATTGCTGATAACATGGCATCTACAGGTAATAGAAAGATTAATGGCGACCTCTTTGCAGCGCTGGCTGTGGGAGATGCTTCCAAGGTGATTGATATGTGTGCCTCCATACCAGTTGGTCCTCTGCACAAGCTAACTATACATGGTGACACTGTTCTCCACATCGCTAGTTACCACATGGCTAATGAGCTCGTTCTTAAACTACTCGGAATGATACCTGAAGACCAATCAAACTTACTCACTGTATAAAATGAAGCCGGAAAGACCATTCTTCATTCCACAGCCACCAACAATAATACAGTCGAGGCTGCTGCTGAGATGCTGCGTCGGGCTCCTTCATTGCTCACCATGACGGATAAGCTTGGAGAGACGCCTCTTTTCTGTGCAGCCCGTTATGGCAACACCAAAAGTTTCTATTTTTTCAAATCGGAAATGAATAGGAGATTCCCGGAAGATGCTGCAAGCTTGATGGGTTTTCTTCGAAGAAATAATAAAGAAACTATCCTTCACGTTGCAATTCATAGTTTCAACTTTGGTAATTAAGTGTATCGTTTTTTTGTTTTTTTTTTTTTTGAGAAAAGTTTCCTTCAATCCGAATGTCTAATATATGATTGTACCCAGCTTTGGCTCTTGATATTGCTAAAACTTATCCAATGTTGATCGGTGAAAAAGATGGAGACGGGATGACTGCTCTTCAACTTCTTGCCTGCAAGTCACCACGTTTCAAACGTAGATTTGAAAAGCATTTCATATGCAAGCGTATGTCACTAACATATGCATACTTTTCTCGGTCATCAAGTCTACTATATAGCCAGTTAATAATAACATTACACTTTTTTTTTTTTTTTCTAACTTTTGGAGATTTTTTTCTCAGTCATTGATTGGATCTGTCTGAAAGAAATAGCCAGTAGAGTGCCTATCTTGAAAAATATTAAGGAAAAACAGCTCGTAATTGATTCCACAAAGGAACTTGCAACCCTCTTGATTGAAAATGATGCATCATGGGAAGAAACAAAACCCATGCCAACTCAGAACAGAGTTAAGCTCCACAGATATAGAGGAGGGAGTACGCCTTCAGAAAACGTTTCTACTGGAACTAATAATAAAATCAATGTTACGCTTCCTACCCCCGACTCTCCATTGATTTTAGCTACTAAATCGGGCTGTACATATATTGTAAAGGAAATACTGCGAGTGTACTCTCAGGCGGTAGAGCTTATTGATAAGGACGGGCGTAACATTTTGAATGTGGCAATTCAATATCGAAGAATGGAGATCTATAAGGCTGTGATCGAAATGAAGTATCCTCTCATGACTCTAAGAGACACGATCGACAATGAAGGAAACTCATTACTGCACATGGTAGCCATGAAAGCTACAGATCAGCTTGTTGAAATGGACTTCAGATACCCTGCCCACGAACTAAAAGATGATTTGCTTCTATTCGAGGTAATGATATATATATATATATATATATATATATATATATATATATATATATATATATATATATATATATATATATATTATTTTGTTGGTTGTGTTTGTTAGACGAAAAAGATAGAGAGTGAGTGATTGTGTCATATTTTTGGATGGATTACAATCTTATCCGATTGATATGAATCTCAGTATCAATCCAATTGATCATGATTCATGACTAATTAATTAATTAATGCCAGGTCATGTTGTGGGTAGTGGAATTTAGATTTAGAGTTAGGCCATGCATGCATTATATAGCAAGATGTCTTAATTTTTAGCTTTGACTATCCTGCAGAGTGTGAAAAATATATGTACGAGTGTGGCAACTTCTCAGGTAAACAACGATGGATTGAATGCTAGACAATTATTCGTCAAGAACATGGAAAAGCTCCGAATTGATGCCAAAGAATGGATGAAGAGCACGGCTTGGGGCAGCGCCGGTTTTGGTTTGACCATTGCCACTCTCTCCTTTACTGCATCTTACACTGTACCTGGAGGTTTAGATCAAAACACAGGCCATCCAATTATGGGAGGAAAACCGTTTTTTATCGTGTTTACCCTAGCCAATGGCCTTTCCCTCACATTTTCTATAACATCACTTATCACATTTCTTTTCATTCTCACATCTTCCTTCCAGTTAAAGGATTTCAAGAGGTCTCTTCATTGTCAACTACTCCTAGGCCTTACACTGGTGATGCTCTCTGTGTTAATGATGATGATATCATTTGCAGCCTCGCTTATCCTAGGAAATACTAGTAAAAAAGGCCAAGATTGGACAAAAATTATATTGTACACTATTTCATTCCTCCCGGTCACCGTGTTAATCTACACAACCACACCTGTCTGTTATACGCTGCTTAAAGTATTTAAGGAAATACTAGGGAGTATTATAGCTTCAATATTGCCTACCTGCAGTGATGTTGAATCGCGCAAAATAATGCAGCACCGCCGATTGTCTTCTCAAGCTCCAACTACGAGTTCTATTGTTTGATCCTTTAATTAGTCCATTTTTCTTGAAAAACCTTCTGACCATTAATCTTTACCTCATCATTTCCCTTGTTCTTTTAAAGAACAAGGCACTCTATAGTATAGTATGACATTAAATTTGTTATATATATTCACATTAAACTTGTAATATGTTTGTTGCTGTTTTATAATGTAATGGTTTGTTCTTTAGGATAATAAAAATTCTATAAGGGTTGCTAATTATCTATTGGTGACTCGTTATTTTCTCACATCATTAATGTTGGATACACATGCATAATTTGATTTACGGAGACAATCCAACTTTTATTTCCATATGGGCAATGTTATTTATTTGTTCCATACATAATCTAACTTAGCTAAATGAATACATCACCACTGGAATTATTTCAAAAATCTAAATACCCGGTCCTAACGGTGGGTGATTCGGGCGACCGCCCATGGCCCATTATCCTAGGGGGGCCAAAAAAAATAAAGGTATGTTGTATATGTACTTTTAAACATTACAGAATACAAGTCTTGATTAAAGGCCTAAAGCCCCAAAATAGCCCACTAGATCAACTATTTAACCTAATTACAAAATTATAATTATTATTATAATTTTAATATACTTTAGATTTGATAATTATTTAACCTAATTACAAAATTATAATTATTATTATAAAGAAATTGAAAAGTCACGGGAGTTTCAAATGAATATGATGAAAGGAAAAAAAGAATGGGAGTTTCAAATGAATGAGATTCAAGAAAAAATACTAGCTTTATAAGTATGTATGATGAGAACTAGGAACTAGCATTTTTATTTATTTGTATGTTCTGTGGATAATCCAACTTAACTCCGGGAGCTTAACCAATACATCCACATCACTTTGACTTACATTTTTAACTACAAAAAACAGTATTCCTAGTTTTCTAGATTTCCCATATGGTATAACAACACCATCTAATTAATTATCTACTCTATATCAAAGATATATAGCATATATGATTACCTTTGATTCTAAAAAGGGGAGAGTGTTTCATTTTGCCATTTCTTTTACCAATTTAATTATGCTTCTTGATTTATGACCTTTGCTATAAAGCACTAATCAACGATAATCACATTGATCCCTTTCCATTGCAGTAATATTTAAGTTTTTAAGAATCTACAGATATGCAAGACTTGTTTTCCTTTAATTTCTCTTTATCTTCTTTAATGTGAAACAACGTCATGAAAGCAGACGGAAGAGTTACCTGTGAAAACCTAAGACGGAAGTATTAATTAATTCCATGTTCTTGCTGCTCTCTCAAGTAACTTTATGCATGAAGTACTTTAAATGGCATTCAAACTTTGTGAAATTAAGTGTAGCCCATAACATTCAGGTCATCAACTGAGTAATGGCTGATAACATGACACCGACAGATTATAGAAAGATTAATGCTTCCCTGTATGATGCTCTGTCTGAAGGAGATGATAACAAGGTGTGTCATATATGCAAAACCTTGCCAGATGGCCCTCTGCGCAAGCTAACCATACATGATGACACTGTTCTCCACATCACCAGTTACCACAAGCGTAATAAGCTTGTTCTTCAACTACTCGGAATGCTACCTGAAGACCAACCCAACATACTCACTGTAAAAAATGAAGCCGGAAAGACCATTCTTCATTCCACAGCCACCAACAATGACACAGTCGAGGCTGCTGTTGAGATGCTGCACCGGGCTCCCTCTTTGCTCGCCATGACCGATAACCTCGGAGAGACGCCTCTTTTCCGCGCTGCCCGTTATATGGCAAGTCCAAGATTTTCTATTTTCTCCAAGCGGAAATGAACAGGAGGTTTCCAGCAGAGGCTACAGACTTGATGGATTTTCTTCAAAGAAATAATAAGGCAACTATACTTCACGTTGCAATTCATAGTGAGAACTTCCGTAATGCATGTCTAATATATGAATGTACACAGCTTTGGCTCTTGATATTGCTAAAACTTATCCAATGTTGATCGGTGAAGAAGATGGAGACGGGATGACTGCTCTTCAACTTCTTGCCTGCAAGCCGTCAGTATTCAACCATGGATTTGAAGCGAATTTCTTCAAGCGTTTTATATGCAAGAGTATGACATATACTTTACTCGGTCATCAAGTCTGTATAGTCTACTAGTAATTAACCATATCATAATTAACAGTTTTTAACTTGTGGAGTTTAATTTGTTTCTCAGTCATTGATTTGATCGATCCGAAAGAAAGAGCCAGTAGAGTGCCTATCTTGAAAAAACTTAAGAAACAAAAGCTCCAAAGTGAATCCGCAAAGGAACTTGCAACCCTCTTGATCGAAAATGATACCTCATGGGAAGAATCAGAACCAATGCCAAATCAGAACAGAACTAAGCTCCACAAATATGCATATGGAGGAGAAATTATGCCTTCAGAAAACCATTGTCTAGAGATTATCATCGACACCCCCAACTCTCCATTGATTTTAGCCACAAAATCGGGTTGTACAGAGATTATTATCCCTTTTAAATAACAAGACGCTCTGTCTTATTCTCGTAATTTGTTTCGGGTTTTTTTTAGAAATGGGAATTAGAAACAAATTGATCTATTCTAATTTTAAGTCGATGACCCTTTATACAATCTTCCCAACAACCTCTCTATCTTCGGTTTAACCTTATTGGATTATCAAGATTAACATTTAGTTAATAGTTACAACTCTAAACTGCATTGAGGTACAAATCATTCGTCTAATTTATTATAGAGGTAAAAAAAAATAGTTGAACCATGTAGCTGATGGTTTTTAGGCATCCACGACGCATTGAATTCTATAGAGTCTAAAGTATTGTCAATCATCATTCTACCTTCTATATAAATCTAATATTTTTTTCCTATAATGCATACAAAAGTTCAAATGGACATTTATTTTAAACTTAAAAAAGATTCATTTTTCTCATCGGAGAATTCAAAGACCATTTAACTCCATATTCATTGAACGGCAATGTGACATCCTACAATTATTGAGTTTAATCCATTGAATGTCAACTACACATTCCAACTCATGTAACTCTTTCAATAAACCATGCATTGTGGATGTTCTTCAAAAGTAAAAGGCATTTTATTATTTAACAAGTTACACTTAGCTAGCAAATTTACCTTTCTGAGCATGCATGTTGCAGGTTTCGTAAAATCTGGATGTGTGTGTGTGTGTTTCTTCTAATGACAATTAAACTCAAAATCATCATCAATTAAGGGGATTTGAAAAGACAATAGCAAACAACGATGAAAATTTGTCAAACAAGAGAGCTCAAACTAAGAATGAAGTTTTAGCTTCCTTAAAAATGGAAGAACAAAATGTCTATAATCATTAACAAGAACAAGTTCTCGAAAACCTTATAAAAACTATGAGTACATGACCTAAATATTCTTATGAGATCATTGATTGATGATAGCTTCATTTTATTTACTTCTTTTTATAGTTTATTTTAGCATATTTCATTCATAACTTAGATAATTTCCATGCATATTTTCCTTTTTATTATTTTATGACTATTTCGGGTACTCTCGAATCTTGTGAGCATAATTGCAGGTTTTCGGGTCTAGCGGAGCGGGAGTGTTCGGGACGTATAGGAGGCGATGAGATTTGGTAGACAAAAATGACGTTGGGCTTGATGGGTAGTGGAGATGATGCATGGAGTGATCTTGATGATTATTTGAAGACTTGGAGAGAAATAAGCTTTAAATTTGCAAGATGTGGGGGAACATTCAAGCGTATGAAAATTATTAATCGGGCGAGTTCACGAGCTTTGGAGGATTTGGAGAGGTCAAATTGGGCTTTAAATGAAGAAAAACTTGAAGAAAATGGGCTAGGAGGTGATTGGATTCGATCTGGGCTAGTGGGATATGCTTTAGAGGCCCAAAATCTCAAAGAAGCCCATGTCAGGCACCACCCGCGCAGCAGCACGCGGGTCGCGCAAGGCCCTGCAGGGGTAGTTTCGGAAATTCTTCTTTTGAGCTATTTGAGGAAGGTTGGTGCCCATCTTTTGCATACTCTTGGACATCCGATTTTTGAAGATTCTCTCTGGAGTTTTGGAGACTTTTGAAGGCCAAGAACCCTTGAAGAACATCATATTTTTACCTCTTGATTCTTGCTTAATGTTTGGTACAAATTTCTCTAACTTTGTTTCTTTGTGTTTAGCCATGCTTGGCTAAGCTAATCTTGGTTGACTTTTGGTTAATCCTTTGAACTTTTGTTGAATGTTGAAGAATCCATGAACATGTTCTTGAATCTTTATGGGAATGTTTTGTGTTTTAACATCTTATCATTACTTGTATGTTTTAGTTCATGAGTTTAAATGTGTTTGTGGTGATTAGTTGGCTAATTTCTTGATTAAGTAAAGGATCCTCAAATTAGCAAGCAACAAATGATTTTTGTGTTGTTTTTGCTTCACACAATCATAAAAACATTTCCTCCAACATGGTGGTGAAAGCATTTGACCCCTCTTGGATTTGGTGACTTTTTGGTTCTTAATGCTAGTTGACTTTCACTAATTACATGCTATTTGGAATTAGTGACTTTGACTAAGGAAATTGTTATGAGCTTCTCTAGCCATTTCAACAATTAAGAAAAGTCTAGGTAATCTCAAGCTCCTTGGATTACTATAGCCAAATTGAGGATTTAAAACAAGTATTGCACCATTGAATTCTAATGATATGTTCATCAAAAGTCAAAGTGAGAAAACTTTAAGTCAACCATCTTTCCCTTATTGATTTTACATCAAATTCTTATTTTTGTTGCAATTGTCTATTTAAATCATAGTTAATTCTAGTTTGTTTCAAGTATTTCAAAACATCAAAACCCCCATTTTTAATTTATTGTCATATTCCAAGTATTTTACAAAGAGATTTTTCATAGAGTTATCAAATTGAACCAGTCTCCGTGGATTCGATCCCTTTACCACTATACACTATTTTAGTGTGTAATAATTAGGGTTATTATTTGTGTTGGCCTCGACAACCACCAAATTTTTGGCGCCGTTGCCGGGGATTGGTTTATTTTTAATCAATTTGTTTCTCTATGCCCAGATCTCAACATACAGGTGACTTGATTTACAATCCAGAAATCGAAAAAAAAAAGCAAGGCGTTTGGCAAAGGAAAAGCGAATTGAACGTGGTCAAACTTCTAATCCCCACGGGGATCCGGAGGTCGAAACCGCTTCAGTAAGCGACATAGAGCCCGATTCTAGTCCCGACCTTCGCCAAGAAATTCCCGAAACACCACCCCTACAATAAAATCCACCCATTATTGAACCAATTGAAATGGCGGACGGAGGAGAAGTTCCCGAAAGAACTTTGAGGCAAATGATGGAGACCGATGTTACACAAACTCCAACCGGTATCAATTACCTGGTTTTGGAAGGAGGCTCGGAGTTGAGGTCAAGTTTAGTTCATCACCTACCGACTTTCCATGGATTGGAGAATGAAGACCCTCATAAGCATTTGAAGATGTTCCACATTATTTGCACTAGCATGAAGCCACAAGGGTCAACCGATGACCAAATCAAGCTAAGGGCATTCCCCTTTTCATTGGCCGATAGAGCAAAAGATTGGTTATTCTATCTTCCACCGGGGTCGATCAACTCATGGACCGACATGGCAAGAGCCTTCCTTGACAAGTTTTATCCCGCCTCAAGAGTCTCAAGTCTTCGAAATGAGATTTGTGGAATCCGCCAAGGTCAAAATGAGACTTTCCATGATTATTGGGAGAGGTTCAACAACTTGTGCTATAGTTGCCCACAACACCAAATTCCGGAACAACTCCTCATTCAACACTTCTATGAGGGATTGTTGCCAATGGAGAGAAGACTAGTTGATGCCTCAAGTGTGGAGATGTCTTTAGTAAAACCCCACAACAAACAAGACAACTTTTCAACACCATAGCCGCAAATTCACAACATTTTGGCCCTCGCCAAGACATGAAGAGAGACACACAACACAAAGTTAATGAAGTGGGAACATCGAATCTTGAGTCTCAAATAAAAGATCTAACATCCGTCGTCCAAAAGCTAGCCATGGGACAAACTCCACAAGTGATGGTTTGTGGAATATGTGCAACCATGGGACATCCTACGGATATGTGTCCCATCCTTCAAGAAGATGCGGAGCATGTGAATGCCACGGGAGAATTCCAAAACTACCACAACAAACCATCCGGTACCAAAATGCATATAATTCAAGTTGGAAACCAAATCCCAACGGAAGCTACAACCCAAGACCATTGCCTCACAATGCATTGGTTAGACCGTTCCTATCCACCACCACAACCTCAATACCAACATCAACAACCACACTATCAATCCAAACCGCACCCTCCACATCATCATCAACAATCTCCTCAATCTCAACCAAGTAGCTCCGGAATGTCTCTTGAAGACATTGTCAAATCTCTAGCCACTAGCACCCAACAATTCCAAAAAGAGACAAGGACTAGTATCTCCAACCTTGAAGCACAAATGGGAGATATAGTTACATCTATAAGCAAGTTGGAATCTCGTGGTAAACTCCCTTCTCAAACCGAAAAGAACCCAAATGTCAATGTGGTGACCTTGAGAAGTGGCAAGCAAGCCGGAGAAAGTAGTTCAAAGAAGAAGCCAAGGGAAGAAGAGGAAGAAATAGAGATCATTCCCATTGAAGAACCTACAGTCAAGAATGATGCACAAGCCGGAGTTCCAAAGAAGTCCATCCCTCTAGAACACCAATAGCCACTCAACCACCGTTCCCCTTCGACTTGCAACTT